AACCACTTGCGATTCAACCTCAGATGTCGACAAAGTGGCATCAGTCCCAAGAGCCTGGAACTAAAATCATCGGTCAGCGGGCACCGGGCAAGCAAGATCCTTCAGAAGGCACAGACCCAGCTGCTGAATGAACGGGTGAGACAGACCAATTTTACTATTGAGGCCTTGAAGGCCAAAGAAGAGCACATTAAACAGAAACTAACAACGTGTCTAGATCAGACCACACTTCAGCAAGTGTTGGACTGTACAGATCAGGCACGCTTAGCACAGCATGTCAAGTCCAAGACTCGACAACAAAATAAGTTTAACTTACGAATAACTCATCAACACCATCACTATTCCAATAACAACACATTCAGTGTAGGACAACACTCCAGTAGTCAATTACATGCCAGGGAGACAGAAAAGTGGGTGAAGAATTTATCTGACAGACAGTTCACCCAGCCAGAGACAGAGATTCTTGCCAGGGGACTGAACTTTGCGGGTGCACCAAGGACAATTCCTCTGGTGGAGATGATCACAGCTACTGAGTCAGCCATCCGCAACAACAAAATTAAAGAGGCTGAAGCAGAACAGCTCAGAATCAAAGTTTCAGCCTGCCTCAGCAATGCCAAACCACCACCTTCCAACATCAGTAGAGAGGAGAGGGATGCACTCACCACTCTTAGCAAGGACAAAAACATCATAATTCTCCCAGCAGACAAAGGAAGGTGCACAGTGATTTTGAACCAGAAAGACTATCATGAGAAAGTTATGACACTCCTTAGTGACTTAAACACTTATGAACCTCTGAAAAGAGATCCAGGAAGTGGCTACAAGAAGAAGTTAATAGATTGCCTGAAAAATTTGGAGCAGGACAAGGCTATTGACCGTATTCTGTACCACAGACTGTACCCAGGGGAGGCCACACCTAGTCTGTATGGTTTACCTAAAATCCACAAACAAGGTGTACCTTTAAGACCAATCGTTAGCATGATTAACTCTGTCACTTACAATGTTTCCAAATATCTGGCGTCTGTACTCATCCCTTTAGTTGGCAGCTCAGAACACCACATACAGAACACCATGGACTTTGTGGACAAGGTGAGGGATGTCATTATGGAGACTGATGAAACAATGGTCTCTTTTGATGTCACATTACTCTTTACATGCATTCCTGTTGATGATGCAGTAGAGGTGGTCAGTTTAAAATTAAAATCAGTCACCACTCTGAGCAGCAGGACCACGCTTTCCACAGAACAACTGTGTCAACTCTTGAAACTGTGCCTGCAGTCAACCTACTTCACATATGGGGAGCAGTGTTATAGGCAGAAACATGGGTGTGCTATGGGGTCTCCAGTTTCTCCTATTGTTGCCAACCTGTACATGGAGGAGGTAGAAAAGAGAGCCTTGACGTCCTTTTCAGGGACACCACCAAGTCATTGGTTCAGGTATGTTGACGACACCTGGGTTAAAATCAAATCTCAGGAAGTCCAACATTTTACTGACCACATCAACTCTGTGGATAAATACATCAAGTTCACACGAGAAGATGTAAAAAAATGGCAAGTTGGCTTTCTTGGACTGTGAGGTCTCAGTCTCTGATAGAGGACATTTGCAAACCGAGGTGTACCGCAAACCCACCCACACAGACCAGTATTTGCAGTTTGACTCCCATCACCCTTTGGAGCACAAGTTAGGAGTCATCAGGACTCTGTACCACAGAGCAGACAGCGTCCCCACTAACTCGGGAGCCAGGCAGAAGGAGAAATCCCACACAAGACAGGCTCTAGAGCAATGTGGATATCCTAACTGGGCCTTCCTGAAAGCAGAGAAGAAACCCAAACAGGACTCGAGTCAGCCATCAGGTGAAAAGGAGGAACCCAGACCAGTGGTCATTCCATATGTTGAGGGAGTATTACGGCAAAGACTGGTTCATCCCAAAGATCCAGTCCCCCGGCACAAACAGAGTAATGTTGTGTATGCTGTTCAGTGTCAGGAGGGCTGTGATCAGTCTTACATCGGGGAAACAAAACAGCCACTGGCCAAAAGGATGTCCCAGCACAGAAGATCAACATCATCAGGCCAGGACTCTGCGGTCTACACTCATCTCCAGGCCAGCGGTCACTCTTTCAGGGATGAAGATGTTCACATCCTGGACAGAGAGGAACGATGGTTTGAGAGAGGAGTAAAGGAGGCCATCTTTGTGAAAAGAAATCGTCCATCGTTAAACAGGGGTGGAGGCCTCCGGGTTCAACTGTCCCCCTCTTACAATGCTGTGATTGCTAGTATCACTCAGCCCTCTGTGAACAGTAAACAGCCATCAGTGTGCTAATGATCCATTGTTAGGCTGATGGTCCTTCTTGAGCATGTGATCAGCTGGTTTTGGTTGTCAGCAGCAAAACTGGTTGATCCACTTTGAGAAGGTGCTATTTAAGAGACTGAGCTGAATACAGCTCCTCAGACTGAGGAAGTCTCTCGGATGAGAGACGAAACGTTTCTATATTTTTTTGCTTTGTTTTGTTTTTTTGAATGTCCAGAGGACCAGATTGAACTTTTTTGGATGAAAGAGACAGAGCTTTTTCTTCTGTGGCTCCAAGACTCTGGAACTCCCTTCCTCAAACTCTCAGATCAGTGGACTCAGTGGCTTCTTTTAAAGGCCAGCTAAAAACTTTTTTTTTTAATCTGCCTTTGCTTATATTAGTTTTGTGCACTTTTTAATTTTGTTTGTCGAAGCACTTTGTGATTTTTATCTTGAGAAGCACTATATAAATAAAGTTTTACTTACTTTCTATAAACTATGTAAAAAGAAAACAGTATAAAGCACCAAATCACACTTGTAAATTGAAGAACACAAGATAATCAAGAATAAATGGAGCAGAATAAAAGTATGAACCAGTAGATGTTGTATAATCTAGTGGCCAAAATGGACTTTGTTTGCAGGGTGGCCAGGCTTAGCCTTGGTGAGGAGCTCCATCATCCAGGGGGAGTTAGGAGTAGAGCCGCTGCTCCTCTGCATCGACAGGAGTCAATTGAGGTGGTTCAGGCATCGAGATGTCTCCGCTTCCCTTTAGAGCACACATGTCAAACTCAAGGCTCGGGGGCCAAATGTGGCCATCGTTGACATCTTCTCTGGCCCCCAAGATGATAAGTTCAATGGAAAATACTTTTATCACTTTAAATTTTTCAGTAATCTTTGGTTATGATGTCAAAAGTTCAACGCATCAACTCATCAAATGAGTTCAATCAAACTCTTTTTGAGGAGCCTGCAACCAAGAAAACATATTGGGTGTCTAGCTTGAGTTAATTTAGATTCTGAAATTGTCCCTTTAGTTTGAAAAAGTTTTTAATTTTGGCCCCCTTTTGTAAGTGAGTTTGACACCCCTGCTTTAGAGGTTTTCCAGGCATGTCCCACTTGCAGGAGGCTTGAGGAAAGACCCAGAAGTCGGTGGAAGGATTATGTTTCTTCTCTGGTTTGAGATGCCTCAGGTACGGTGGCCGACGGGTGTGGGTCCCCCAGGGCCAGAACTAGCTGAAAAGTGTCACTGGGGAGAAGGATGTCTGGGTTTCTCTTCTGGACTTGCTCCATGTGACACTCCATGACTCAATAAGCGCAGAAGATGGATGGATGGATGGATGAACAGACGGATGGATGGACGGATGGATGATAGCTGGTATTTCTCAGCGAGAAAGTTGCTTGATTGCTTGACCAGGGACCTGGTTGAACTTTGCATGTTCTCCCTGTGCATGCGTAGGTGCTCCAGTTTCCTCCGAGACCAAAAACATGCATGTTAGGCTAAATGGTCACTCTATCCCTCAGTGAGAGTGTGAATGGTTCTTTGTCAACGTGTCCCTGTGATGACTTGAAACCTGGTGTCCCCTGCATCTGCAGTGACTGCTGGACACCACTAACCCCCACGACCCAGAAAGGACAAAGCAGTAAAGATAATGGGTGGACATGTGACCAAAACAGCTCTCTAGTGAACGAGGCGAACAGAGAGGCAGAGCATTTTCAACTGCAAAACAGAAATCCAGTTGATTTGTTTTAAAGCTTTTTTATTTACCAGTAAGATTTGTTCATTGTTGAGCTCATTGACCAACATTACAATTCAAACCGCTTCACATTTTGCAGTAAAACTACAGTGGTGTGCTTAATATTGCAGCGTGTGTGCGACTCATATAGTGAGATACAAACTGATCAAAGTGTAAACACATGTAGGGTTATTATTCAGCTGAAATGCTGTAGTTCCCCTCCCTTCTCACGCACAGCCTCTACGTCACACACACTGATCCAACGGAAACTGAATGAATGATTCAAATCGGAAAGAACCGACAGTAAACCCCGCTCTGCAAGACGTTAGGCCGACCAAATCATTTTATTTATTTTATGAATGAACCCTAACTTGTTCCTGTTTTGCTGCAAGTCACGTTGGAGGTTGCTAAATGTATACTGAATGTACAAATGGCGTCAACACGAAGCACCGGGCCGGTTGCTGTTGAGCATTCACGTTGCGCGCATTTGAAATGGCGTAGTGTCTTTAAGGGTAGTCGGAAATTTTACAACTTCAATGAAAATGTTAATTTCTCATGTCTGCTTTGCTTTAAAAAAAAAAAAACATAACCAGGGGTTAGAATTTAATAGAATCACTTATTGTGATTGGATACATTTTTTTACACTTTGAAAAACTATTTTAATTAAAGTTATTTCGGTTTTAAATTATGAATGGAGTGATTTTTATATAAATTCATTCATCCCATAGGGGTGTTCGCTTTAGTTTCTGAGCAAATGTAATAGTTAATGGTTGTCATATGTGTGGTGAGGCCCGGGAGGTTCAATGAAGCCGATGCTCGGAATAGTGATTCCCCCCCCCCCCCCCCCCCTTTTTTTTGTTTTAAGATATCCGAGCTGTGAAAGTGCTCCTGAATGCATCAGCGGGGTGTAGAGGAAGTGGCGGCTGATCTGGGTCCGCACCTTTTCCGGTAACACAGCAGAGAGAACGGCTGGAGACACTGACAGAGAGAGAGAGAGGGGGGAGGAAGACAGATCGAGGGCGGCAAGAGAGCGGGGAGAAACGGTTCGGGGGTGCGGGGAACGACAAACGCTGGTATGTATCCGGCTTTCAGCCTATATATCAGCTTGTACTGAGCGTTTGTGTTGGCGGAGAGAGTAATTGTTCGGGTCCAAAGTTGTCCTCTGTTCTAACAGCCCTCCCTTCCTTCTTCAAACCGCTCGTGTGTCACAGGGAGAAGAGAAGAAGAAGAAAGTCGGATGAATCGGTGACCTTTAGAGCCGTCTTCGTCTGGACGCCCCGCTACAGAAGCGGAGCGGGAATCAACAACTTCACATTTTCGGACCAGTTTTAACAAAAAGAAGAAGAAAATTAATCAACGTGTTTGGAAATTTATCGAGTGGAAGAAAGAAAGAAAGAAACAACTGACTGTGGACAGGCAGTTAAGGAGGAAGTGGGAACCCCCGGTTTGGACTGGGCCTGGTTTAAACTGTGTTTGAGGGGTTTGGATCAACTGATTAAATAAAAGTTGTTTCCGGTCCAGCTCACCTGGAAGTGAGAGGATTCATTTTAAGAAGACGAAAATTGTGATTTTTTTGGAGGGAGTTTGTCCTCAAAAAGCTTTGTGAGAGATGCCATTTTTTTCTTCTTACATGATGAAAATCTATCCCCACCCAAATCTGTGAGGGCGCACTGTTCCTCCGAAACGCTCAGGTTGGATTACCTCAGTCCAGATTCTTGTACTGTACAAACTTGAATATTGACGCTCGTGTCAGGCCGCCGCCGTCACCTGTGGAGTCTTTGCACACCGAAAGCGAGACCTCTCATTTGGAGTTGAAACTACTTTTCCACTCCCAAGGGAAGAACCACTTTTCTTTTCCTGTAACAAAGTATTTATGCACATCAGACAAGATGGGGAAAATGCTTTCAAAGATCTTTGGCAACAAGGAGATGAGAATATTGATGCTTGGACTTGATGCTGCCGGGAAGACGACCATCTTGTACAAGCTGAAACTGGGACAGTCGGTCACCACCATCCCCACGGTCGGGTTCAACGTAGAGACCGTCAACTACAAGAATGTGAAGTTCAACGTGTGGGACGTGGGCGGACAGGACAAAATCAGACCGCTCTGGAGACATTACTACACAGGTACCCAGGGCCTGATTTTTGTGGTGGACTGTGCCGACAGGGACCGCATCGACGAGGCGAGGCAGGAGCTCCACCGGATCATCAACGACCGGGAGATGAGGGACGCCATCATCCTCATCTTTGCCAACAAACAAGACCTCCCAGATGCCATGAAGCCCCATGAAATCCAGGAAAAGCTGGGCCTGACCCGGATCAGAGATAGGAATTGGTACGTTCAGCCCTCTTGTGCAACAACGGGGGATGGACTGTACGAGGGCCTGACTTGGCTTACCTCAAATTACAAATCCTAATGTTTCCTCCACCCCACTCACCAGCCTGGACACTTGGAGGAGAAACGTAGCTATAATTAAAAAAAAACAGCAATTATCACCACGATCGCTTTCCTGGAAATGTATTAAAGAGTCACAAGTACTTTTGGTTTAATATTCTCTTTTTTGATGACGATAGCTTTTCTTTAACCCCAAATTTCATTTAAGCGAAACAAAAAGCTTTTTTTTTTTTGTCGTTTCTTTTCTTCGTATAATCAGCAGTCTGCTAAAATACACAACAAGCTTGCTTTTGAGCTCTTATTTCTTCAGGTTCCTCCTGGGTTTTTAACTTCCTGTAGAGGACACTTTTTGTAGTTTTGCCTCATGACCGAGCTGCATATCCAAAGGATGGAAACGTCCAGAAACCCATCGCCCAAATCAGCACCTCACTCGTGACTTAACCTGCCTCCAGTTTTCTGTAAGAATGTGTATCAAGGACGTGTTGGGACCTCAAAAACTCACCTGCGTTCAGAGTCGATTGTAACGGGAAGGATGCGGACGCGTGGGACGGCGTGATCCATCGTGTCTCGTGTGGACGTTGGATATCTAAAACACCCACTGTGATATGGATTTATATTGTTTCAGGGTCAGCATCTGTTACCACCACTCTATTATTTTCTTACTTTTGTTTCTCGGAGCTTCCTTGACTTTAAGTATTTGTAGTTTCAGTTGCCTTAGAGGGGATCCAGGTGCTCCGATACTGAGATGGTTCCTACAACAGAGGGTGTTCTTAACAGCTGAGTTTGCACTTTGGGTGGCTAGCAACTTGCTGGTTGCGTGTATTTTGATGTACTTTTGAACTCCAGCAAGTTTCTGAAATCCTCCCCCGCCCTCTACGTCCTTTACACCACCACCTACAGGTGCTTCAGTGACTGCAAGCCCCTTCTATTTCTGTGCTTTTAAACTATATATATATATATATATATATATATATATATATATATATATATAT